CCTGGGTCATGCAACCCTTAGTCCCCAGGGTGAATCCTTGCTTTTTAAGACAGGTGTAGCAGATGCTCCCACCGCAATCTGTCCTTCGAGAGTTCCTGAGCGCTGTCCGAAAGCTTGGTCCATCCACCATCCTTGACTTAGTCACTCACCAAAGAAGCATGTAGTGAACGCCGACTGTGCACCGGGCACAGAGCAGCGGCCAACGCCGACTTCACGGAGACTCTTTGGCAAAGAGACAATAGCCGTGCCACACAAGTCACTTACAATGCTGGCGTGAGGGAAGGCGAGTGCAGCCCTCCGAGTGTGGTGACTGGTGACGGCGTGAGAGAAGCGTGGCGGAGGGAGAGGGCCTGCGTGTTTGGGCTTCTCTTGATTGGCGTGGACTGTCTGGGAACCCCAGGAATACAGGCGGGGAAACACGGGGTGCCAGGTAGGGCCTGCTTTCCACCATCGCTTCCTGGTGATCTCACATCATCGCTCTCTTCTCGGCCTCACACCGGTAGCGGGGACATCGAGGATGATCTGGTGGGGAAGGGAGTTACCTGTTGGGCTGCAAACCACAAGGTCAGTGGTTCGAGTCCACCAGGGGCTCCGAGGGAGAAAGATAAAGCTTCCTGTTCCTGTAAAGAGTTACAGCCTGGAAGCTCCAGGGGGCAGTTCATCTCTGCTCTACAGGGTCGCTGTGAGTGGGAATTGACTCGTGGGTTTGTTTCCACTCAAATGAAACATGAGCAGACCCTTCACTCCAGGTCGTCCCACCTTCCAAAGTGCTCAGTGAGCCTGGGCCTCCGCTGTCAGGAAGGAGTCAACCAATTCATTCCGGAGCTCTGTGCTAGCTGCGAGGGACCCAGCAGCCGACGTCTAAGGGAGCTTTCCTTTCTCCCGGAGCTGACATGCTAGCGGGAGTGACTGCAACAGCCAATGAAAGGAAATCTCAGGTAGAGGCAGGCTCTGAAGACAGTGACATGGGGGGAGGGAGGGAAGGGCTCTGGCCCCGGTGGTCAGGACCCCCCACCTGAGCCTAGGTTGGAAAACCAAGGAGCAGATAGCTTTAGGAAGATCTGGAGGACTGTGGGACCAGCACGTCGCTGCGAAGTATGAGCTCAGAGCGACAGCAGGATTGGAGAAGAGTCGGTGCTGTGTGAGTGGGCAGGGGCACGAGTCGGGCCGAGAGGACCAGGGGCTGGGCGCGCATGAGTCTGGTGGGCCCCTCCAAGGAGTTTGGATGTTGCCGTCGAGGGACCCAGTGGAGGGCTTGGGACAGGGGAGCCACAGTGTCGACTTCCCACTGACCCCCTCTGGCTGCTGGGGGAGGAGAGATGGACCGTGGGGGCAGAGGGAGCACTGAGAAGCTGGGAGAGGCAGCTGCTTCAACTGGCATTGTTAGCAAAAAAAGGAATGCAGAAATGTTTATCAGCAGGGAGTGTACTGCATCCAATATAGTGAAACAGCAGAGGGAGAGGCTGCATCAGCAAGAGACCAGGGTGGCAGAGGGAAGGGAGTGTGAGAGGGAACAGGGCACGCGGGAAACCACACTGGGGCTTGAGTTTTTCCGCGAGGTGGGAGCCCTGGGAAGGTTTGATCACATGTGGGTCTGTGAGGGGAGGCGGTGGGAGTCGAAGGAGCAGGGAGGAGATGACAAGAGGACGTGGTTAGACTCGGTGAGCATCTCTCAAAACCAAAGGACGGGAAAGTAAGTGTGTTCACAAAGCGAACTTCTGTTGTCTACCGTCTGTAGGTAGGTACGTAGCTAAAGCGACAAAAGTCTGCCCTGGCTACCTGTTCAGGGCAGAGCCAGGAAGATCCACTGGCAGACTAGACGTGCAGAGTGAGAGCAAGTAAGGAGTCCTGGACGGCTCTGTGGTTGGGGGCTGAGCAGTTGCTAGGGGGGTCCAGTTGGTCCCAGTTGCTCACGGTCCTACGTCCGAGAGAATGAGACTCTCCCCAGTCCCGTCCATCCTCGGGACTATGGTGTTTGACTCAGAGGCTACAGCCACGGGGTCAACCATCTGTCTCTGCCAGACTCTTGTCTTCTCTTTTCCACCAACCCTCTGCTTTCCCAAGCTGGGATCCCATGCCCCACAGAGGCGAGGCAAAGGCCTGCCGGCCCTTCCTTCTAGGGAGCATGCTGGCCGGACTTCTTCTGAGACAGGCTAGTCACTGTTCTTTTGTTAACCCCAGGACTGATTCTTCTTCCGTCCACCTTATGCAGGGCCCAGCTTTCACACCCATAGCTTTAAGTCCTCAGAGGGACATCTTTTTAAGG